TCAAAAAAAAAAAAAAAGGTTAATTTTATGTTATATGAGTTTTACTACACCCACAGAGAGAATACTGGGCACTTATAACCGTCTACACAAATCAGCTAAGCCTCCAGTCCTTCCAGGATATTGTCATTAAGTTGAAGACCCTCCCTCCACATAGGCTCCACCTCCTTTCTACCACATACTGTCTGTCTGCCAGATTTCTGTGACTTCTCTTTTATTTTTGAGACGGAGTTTTCCTCTTGTTGCCCAGGCTGGAGTGCAATGGCAAGATCTCAGCTCACCGAATCCTCCACCTCCCGGGTTCAAGTGATCCTCCTACTTCAGCATCCCGAATAGCTATTGCACACATGCACCACTACGCTTGGCTAATTATTAGTTTTTTTGAGACGGAGTTTTGCTCTTGTTGCCCAGGCTGGAGTGCAATGGGGTGATCTCGGCTCACTGCAACCTCCGTCTTCTGGATTCAAGTGATTATCTTGCCTCAGCCCCCCAAGTAGCTGGAATTACAGGCATGAACCACCACGCTCAGCTAACTTTGTATTTTTAGTAGAGATGGGGTTTCTTCCTGTTGGTCAGGCTGGTCTCAAACTCCCGACCTCATGATTCACCTGCCTTGGCCTCCCAAAGTGCTAGGATTACAGGCATGAGCCACCACGCCTGGCCAATTTTTTGTATTTTTTTAAGTAGAGATGGAGTTTCTCCATGTTGGTTAGGCTGGTCTGGAACTTCTGACCTCAGGTAACCTGCCCACCTGAGCCTCCCAAAGTGCTGGGATGAGGGGCGTGAGCCACCGTGCCCAGCCCTATTCTTGCCTATACCACAATTCCCAGAGATGCTCCAAAGATGTTCTCCTCTCCCTCCCCAGGTCTGATTCACACTAGAAGTAATGCAAGGAGTGAAGCACTAGTTCAAGTGCTTGTTAGCTCTGTCATCTTGGCAAAGTTACCTAACTTCTGTAAGTGGAATTCCTGTAGAAGCCTCAATCGCCATTTTTTTTTTTTTTTTTTTTTTGAGATGGAGTTTCGCTCTTGTCGCCCAGGCTGGAGTGCAATGGCAGGGTCTTGGCTCACTGCAAACTCTGCCTTCTGGGGTTCAAGCGATTTTCCTGCCTTAGTCTCCCGAGTAGCTGGGATTACACGCATGGGCCACCGCGCCCAGCTAATTTTTGTGTTATTAATAGAGACAGAGTTTTGCCATGTTTGCCAGGCTGGTGACCTCAGGTGATCCACCCACCTCGGCCTGCCGAAGTACTGGGATTTCAGGTGTGAGCCATCGAGCTCAGCCCAATCACTTATTTTAACCACCCTTTCAACAGTATTTAGATGCTATTTTCTTACCGGTGACTGGGCCACTAAATAGGCTATAGTGTCAGTGGGAGTGAGAGAGGCAATCTTCCCACAGAAGGTGAAGCTAGAACTAAGGTTTTAAGGAACCATTAACTAGTAGGTGAAGAAGAGGGAGAACAGTGTTTTGCAAGCAAGTTTAAATTTATTATCATCTCTGAACTTCAATTTTTCTACTTGTTCATGGAGTATGTAATAGCACCTTCTTCCAAAGGTCTTCACGCAAGGTAAATGAGTCAACAGGTGTAAAAGGCCTAGTGCAGTGCCTGGCACTACTGCATGCTCAACTAAGGCAGTTTTTTCTTCCTTCCTAACCTACCTTCCACACGTGTAATCTAGAAGGAAATCTCAGATTCACAGGAGGCAAAGACCTTTTAAAGGGTGGGTTGTAAGCCCCCTTATCCACCCAGGTGATCACCATTGTGTTGATCACCATGGAATCTGACCAAGCTAGTTGTTTGGAGTAAGTGGCCTTAGGGGTAAGTGGACACAGGATTGGGGGAAGGCAAATAATTCATGAACAGAAGAGAGCAGGAGGTCAAGGCAGGTATTCCCCCTCCTCCACACCATCTCAAATTGTCCTGCCAATCCAGTCCCTTCCTGACTCTCTTGGAATTACACATATCTATCTAAAAAAAAAAAAAAAAAAAGCAGAAAGGAACACATATCTTTATCTTTTTTCTTTTTTTTCATTTTTAGATTTTCGTACAGAAGAGAAAGGAACACATATCTACAGGACTACCTGACTGATGCTGGACTAGGTGACTGGGTGTACATTGTCTAGTTTGATTCTCACCAAGCCATAGATACCAATTACAGACGATAAAGCTAGCGCACCGAGTGGTGTGGTCAGTTGTCTGAAACCACTCAGCTATTGTGGAGCGAAGCTTGCATTCAATTCAAACCCAGGTATCCACAATTCCAGGCCAGTGTTCTGTTGCCTTAGGTTCTCTCTACTCCCTCTAGTGCTGACCTTTGTCTGGGAGAATGCGGGAGGGGGTGCACTCAGTCAGGGGATGCTGCCAAGGAAACACTTGTGTTGAGTGTGGATGGCTTCAGTCAGGTCCTCTCTGCTCCTGGTGGGGGTGGGGATGGGGAAACGGGGGTGGGAGAATCCACAAGGTAGAGCTCCTCCTCCCCCATCCTAAGCACATGGTGGGGAGGGTCTCCATTCCTAGGCAGGCCTTCTTTTCAATCCTCCAACTCTGCACCCTTCCATCATTTCATGCTCCCTCAGCAAAAACCTAAGGTGGAGAGAAGAGGTCTCATAAACACTTAAGCCTCCACATCTGTAACCCTCCCCCAGCCAGTCAAGCCAGCCGTGCAGACTCTGAGCCAGAGTGAGGGAACCAAACAGCCTTCTCAACCAACACCCCTCTAAGTAACAAAGAGGAGAACCCCCTAACCGGTCTAGGCCAGATGCCCTAGGGAGGAGACACTAGTGCAAGTCCCCAACCTTTATCCCTGGAGCCCATCATGAAGCTTAAAGAAAAACTAGCAGCTGGGGGCCCCAGGAGGGAGGGGGTCAACTCTCTACTCCAGGCGGCTCCCTCCCTTCCCTCCTCCAGGCTAATAGGTATTTCCTGTTTATGAGGCAGCTAAAGCTGAGCTTTTGGGAAGAAATGGTGATGGAGCCCCTCCCCTCCTAGAGCTGGGTTGGAGAGTCCTTGAATTGTGACTGAAGGTTGGGAGGCTCCTCCTTGGGGAAGGAGTGTTCCTTATATTGGCCATCCATATCATCTCCCCGCCAACCCCACACGGCCCACAGCCTCTGCCTCTCTGGGTTAGGGGGCACTGGAAGGGCCTGTTTCCTGTTCTCATCTCCGAAGCCCTCAAAGGAGAGCAGCTTCCAGGCAGGGGGGTCGGAGGCAGTGGTGGGGGGGGTTGGTACGGAGGAGAAGGCGCCAAGGCTGGAGAAAGGGGGGAAGGGAGAAGAGTGTCTTGACTGCTGCGTCAGTCTGCAAAGAGGAAGGATGGCCTTGTATTGCCCCTCCGTAAACCAATCTGGTGGTCATTCCTCAGCCTCCTTCCCCCAGCAAAACGCAGATCCCAAGCCCTTAGGCGGAGGAGGGCGGGGACCCCACTTAATTAACCCTTTTAGTTCTAGTCCCAACTGGTTTCGCAGGCAAAGGAGGAGTGGTTAATTTAGGGAGGGGGTGAGTTGGGGGTTGCTACAAGAATTAAGAGAATGCTTCTTTACCCACCCAGTTTAGGATAGGGACGCGAAACAAGGGGCCTCTAGAAGAAGGTTGGCATCTCAGCAGGGAGCACGAGCAGGGGGTCCGCAGTCCCTTTCCCCTCCCGGAGCGCTGCCCATGGTGGAGAGAGCTACACCTCACTGCCCACCCCGGCTCCGCCTCCCCTAGCCGCGGCTCCCGCTCCGGCTCAGCCAGGCTCCCCACCCGGCGGCACCCAGAGGACCGACACCGAGCGCGCGGCTGCGCCTCCAAGCCCTCCCCCTCGCCCTCCCTCTCGCCCTCCCTCTCTGGGGTCTCTGCCTCCGTCTCCTTTTTTAAAAGCTGCGTCATATGCATGCTGTTCCCTGAGCGCTCGCGGCCCCTCGCCGCCCGCCCGTCGCGCGGCGCACGCACGTCGTCGCTTGCTGCGCGCTCTCCCGGGTCACTTTGACACGGCTCTCCCCTCCCACTAGCAGGACAATTAGCATATTAATAAAGCCCGGCCCTGCCCGGCTCGGTCTGGGGAGCCGGCGCCGGCGCGAGGGAGCGCGAACGCGAGGGCGGAGAGGGGGGCGCTCGGCGGCGGCGGCGGCGGCGACGACGGCGGCGGGAGCGCACAGACACGCACACGCACACGCGCACACACGGACACACACTCCGCGGACGCACACCCGCGCGCACACACGCAGAGGCCGCTCGCCTTCCTGCCTGGCTTCCTTCCTGTCTGCTCCGCGCCTGACAGGCCCCTCGCTGCAGCCAGGGGCCGCCCGCACCGGGCCGAAGCCGGGCCGGGCCGGCAGCGGGGGCCGCGGGCGGCGGCGGCAGCTCATGCCCGGCCTGTCCCCGCGAGGGGTGGGCACCGTGACTCGGCTGGGTCCCCAGCGGCGGGCGATGTGAAGATGTCAGTGGGCTGTGCCTGTCCTGGTGAGTGGGGCGTGCGGCTACCCGGCCCCTCCCTGCCCAACTCTCCCCGCGGACCCCTCACCCCGTGTTTGGCGAGAACTTGTGTGGGGGTCGTCGATGGCATGGGGGAGGCCGGGGGCTGGAAGGGCTACGCGGGGCCTCAGGCCGGCGGGTAGGGTTTTCCCCAACTGTATAAATGCGTAGCAGCTCAGAAGCACGGGAAGGAGACGCCGGGGGTGGCTTATGTGTATGTTTTTTTGGGGGGAGGCTAATTGGTGAGAGGTTTGGGGGGGCTGAAATTCTCAGAATTCCAGGTTGTAAGCCAATCAGAAGTGACTCTGGACTTTTGACCCCCCCCCTCAGGTCACCATAGAGTTGTGATTGGCTGGTTTGGGCTGCCCCCGCTTCTCTGCTGCCCATTGCCTCTTACCTATCCTGTGACATTCCCCCCGTGCTGTTTCTGAGGACCCTGTTTGCAGGGAGGTAGTTGATTAGGACCCATCTTGCCCCCCTTCAACTTTTCCTGCCTGTTGCCAGGGAAGGTTGGCCCTCCTGAGGCACTGGAGGTACTCCTAAGAGATGCTAGATAATTAGCCCCTTGGGTCTGGCATCTCTGCCCTAGTGGGAGGGTAGGCTAGGAAATAGAGTGATTTGTGGATAGGTGAGCTGGGGGAGCAATTCTTGGCCCCAAACTGAGAACTTGAGAGAGGACCCAGGCTCAGATCCCTGCCTCCTCAAAACACGTATCAACTTTTGCCAGGAATAGCCTAGGTCTGAGATTTTTTCTAGTGGGGCTGGGTGGGTCTACCTCACTGCCAGGAGGAAAGTGAGCAGCCATGCGCCTGGAGAGGTAGTCTACAGAGGGCCTCACAGTACAGTGTCTGTCTCCAGCCCCAAGACTCTGGGTCCTGGGATTAGCCTTTCTGCCCCATACTGGAGTCAGCTTTCTCCTGGAAGTCAGTGTCCCTGAATGTAGCCCGGTTTGGCTACATACTTCACAACTGGACACCCCCCACTCCCCCACAAATCCCCAAGGGGAAGCTACCAGTGAGGAAGCTTCCTTGAAAATCATGTGACCCAGGCTAAGCTGGGCTGGGCACACACTTCAGGAGCCTGCTGAGGCTGATGTTTAAGGGGCATGGGACCCAGAAGGAGGGCTAAGAGAACCTAAGAATCCTAGAATATCCGGGTTTGGGAACCACTAGCTGGTGCTGCAGAGAGTTGAGGAAAGGAGAGGCAAGAGCTTGCCAAGCTGGAATCTTGCCTGGCCCCATCATCCCTCCTCCTACCAGCTTGGTGTACATGTTTATATGTGTGTATTTTCTCTCCTATGATTGCCCCATGCTGGGTACCCGGTTCAGATCCATCATGTTCTTAGCCCACCCCAGGGCAGAGCAGAAATTAAGGATCTGAACAAGCTAGAGGGATGAGTCTTAAATTTTGATTCTTAGTTCCTACAAATATAGGGTAAGGGGATATGTATGTATGGAGGGGTTGTCAGGCTGGAGGTGCATGGAAGGTTGGCCCTGAAGTTGGGGCAGGGTGCCTGGGTCTAGTGGGAGGAGAGAGAAAGTCTCTCCTTCTTAGTCTCCTGGAGCAGCATGGGAACAGGAAGAGGGCCCAAGCCCAGGGGTATGTGGGTGGGTGAGGAGACAACTTCAGTCAGTGCCCCAGAAGACATGTTCCTTTTGTGTCTAGTGGTCTGACGGAGGGAAAGGGGGCAAAAGATAGGGAAGAGTAGGGAGTCTTTTTCCAGATCATGAAGTCTTATAGATTGATGCCACAGAGGTTGGATGGAGGTTAGACTTCAAGTAGAACCACTCAGGGAGGGGCTTGAGAGTAGAGTGGAGGTGGAGAATAGTAGCAGTTGGGGTTAGAGAGGGGACCCGACTTGCAGCTTGCTTGGATGGAGGAAGCACATGCTTGAACACGAGAGCAGCGTGGCAGCATGTAGCAGTCCAGGCCCGAAGACTTCCTCCACCTTGAGCAGCCCTGGGGTGAGGGTTGAGGTGCCCTGGCAGGCCGCCTGCCGCCTGCCTGCCTGCCTGCCTGCCTGTCTGAGTCTCTCCTTTGTGCTCTGCTGTCTCCGGGCTCCTCCTCCTCCCCCAGCCCGGCAGAGACAGCACATGCCCCACACATGTGACTGAGGGAAACCAGAGCGCACACAGACCCACACACATGCACACACAGAAACACCACAAGATACACACATACACACGCCCAGCTCCCATAGCGCTCCTGGGGTGAGGACCAGCTTTTGGGGCTGGAATGGCTGAGAACAGGGAGAGCTACTGCTAAGGGCATCACCCTGAGCAAGATGCTGAGGAGGCTAGGGCCTGTCTGGGGCAGCATGTGGCTCAGAAGGGTTAAGGCAGGGAGGAGTAGGGGGAGGGGAGGAGGCAGCAGTGGTGGCGGCTGGGAGCCAGGAGAGGAGGATGGCAGAGCGCCAGGCCAACGGGAGGCCGGGCACAGACAAAGGAAGGGGGGCAGGCACACTGGAGGCCTGGGTCAGGGAGCCCCAGGGGCCCAGGCAGGGGGCAGTGCTGGTACCTCATCCTGTGGGCTGGGGCTGGCGGCTGTCCTTTGAGTCCCCACCTCCAGGAGGAGTACGTTCCCTCATCATCTTTGTCATTCTTTGCTGCTCCCTCCACCTCACCACTAATTCTAAGGCCTTGTAACTCAGATTTGCTCTTTTTAGCTGGACCTGTTCTGCCCCTGTGCAACTGGGTGAATCGGGTCAGAGCAGAGAAAGGAGCAGACTTGCTCCTTGGCATTTAGGGGCTCCTCCACTCCACAGTGAGAGTGGAGGGCCCTTGTAGTTCCTCCTGTCTGAGGAGACAGGCTGGGTGGGGGTTCTGAGCTCTGGGCTGGAGGCAGAAGCCAGAGCACATACCCTTACCTCCTTCCCATGTGGACAGTGATTTGAAGCCTGGAGGGGGAAGGGAATAGGAATGGCTGCAGGGCTTGGCTTATATCCAGTGGGTTTAGAAGTGCAGGGTTCAACCCCCGCCCCCAACCCTCCCCCGTCATCTTGTCTCAGTGAGATCTGTTAGGATCTCACTGTTAGGGTATTTGGCCCTATATGCTATGAGGATCTCTTGAGGTACTGCCTGTGAATGCACTTTGGAAAGTTTAAAGGCAGTGGGGGAGAAGTGGGGCTACCCAAGCTATAAATTTGAGAGTCAGTGGGAATGTCTTAAGTCCTGGTCATAGGCTGTATGTTGCAGTCTGGCTGAATGTCATACATTTCAGTATGTTTGTGAAAGCTGGGGTTTATCATATGGCCAGGCTTTGAAGAATGGTACGCGGGTTTCAGAGAGGGTGATTTCTAGGTTAAGTCCTTGTATAATAAATGATCGGGGTGTATATGTGATAGGCTGTCACAGGTTTAGGGGTTATAACACAGTTTTCGTGTGTGTATTGAGGTCAGGATGCATAAGTGTCATAGGTCCCAGTGTGTATGACTTAGACTGTGTGTGTGTGTGTGTGTGTGTCCAGGATTTGGGTATATTTAGGATTTGAGATATATCACAGGCTGATGGCCAGACGCGGTGGCTCATGCCTATAATTCTAGCACTTTGGGAGACCAAAGCTGGTGAATCACCTGAGGTCAGGAGTTCGAGACCAGCCTGGACAACATAGCAAAACCCTGTCTCTACTAAAAATACAAAAATTAGCTGGGTATGGTGTCACACACTTGTAATCCCAGCTACTTGGGAGGCTGAGGCAGGAGAATCACTTGGACCTGGGAGGTGGAGGCTTCACTGAGCCGAGATCACACCACTAAACTCCAGGCTAAGCAACAGAGCAAGACTCTCAGGCAAAAAAGAAAAAAAAAAAAGAGATATCACAGTATGAAATGTGTATCAGGTATTGATTTATGTGAAAGCGAGATGTGTTATTTATGTAGAAGATGTTCACAGAGCCAGGTGCAATATTACTGCACAGTTAACTAGTGAGTATGTCATGAGAAATCCTGTCCTTGGAGTTATGTGTGAATATAGTTGGGGGCAGGGACAGGGAGTAGAGGAGCAGACACTCAAATTGCAAAGAAGGAAATAGAAGGTTTGTGCCCCGCCCCGTGTGTGTGTGTGTGTGTGTGTGTGTGTGTGTGTGTACTGTTTTCCTTTTCCTATCTGTCCAAGAGTAGGGCCTGGAGCCCTACGCAACTTTTAGAAAAACCTACTCCTGCTACAACAAAATTACCTTAGGAAAAAAATAGCAATACCTGCTCCCTTGGGATGCCCCTGCTGGATGGGAGTACAGACCCTACCCACTAACCATATACCTTTTTTTTCTGGGGTGGTGGTGAAGATTCAGCAGCAAAGTAGGCTCCTCCTGGGGACTCTTCGATGGCCAAGTTGGCTTTCCCTAGCTCTGACAATGTGTCTTTCCCTGGCACCCACTTGTCTTCAAGTGGTGGTGGTGGGGAAGGGGGCTTCCTTTTAAGAGGGATCTAAGTCAAGGCTTGGAACTTAGCTGGGTTGGGGGCAGGGAAGACTGCAGTGTCCCCCTCTCTTCAGTGTTTACTGGCTGATGTCAGAATGTGTCTCTGTCAAAAATAACCCCCTGGAGCCTCCCCCAGCTGCTCTGGGATTTCACCAGGGGAGCCCAGGGTGGCAGCCCGGGTCAGCCTTCAACCTGAGCCATCACAGGGGCGAGGAAGAGAGGTTTGTGAGGTGCTTTGAAGATCTTGGAGTCTGCGGAGAGGAGCCCACACTCCATCTCTGCGAGTGGCTTTGGCCCCCGTGCTCACTCCTGAGCACCGGGCCTGGGGCTGCGGGGAGGCGGGCTGCATTTCATTCCTGGCCCCTACAGGCCTCTCCTCCATCCAGGTCTCTCCCAGCCCAGTCTGATCCGTCCCCTGTCTCTCCCAGTCTCTATCTCTCTTTTGTTTTTCTCAGCAGTCCCTCCGTCCCAGCCTCCCTCCCTCCTTCGCTCTTCCTCTTTCCTCGCAGGGAGGGGGCGGGGCCGGTGGGGGCAGCTCCACCCTCCGCCCGCCCTGGGGCCTCATTCTGAGAGAGGCTCGGAGAGAGAGCGAGCGGGGAGGGAGGGAGGCAGGGAGAGAAAGGGAGAAAGGCAGGCAGCCGGCTGGCGCTGTGTGTGTGTCTGAGTGTGCGAGTGTGAGTGAGTGTGAGTGCTGGGCCCTACCTCTCCTGGTGCCCCCAGTAGAGGGGCCCGGTGGCCTGGGGAGGGCGGGCGGGCTGCTCGGAGGCAGAGGCAGCGAGAGGCGGCGGCGGGGAAAGCAGAGGAGGAGGAGAAGGAGAGAGGAAAGAGCGGAGCAGCCATTGTTGAGGGAAACCTTGCAAACAAAGAAGGCTCCGGACTCCCCGCGGCCCCCCGCCCCCCAGGCCGGCCCCCTGGTCCCCGGCCCCTGGCCCAGTGGCCATTGTAACTTTCCCCCGGGGCTGCGGCCGCCGCGGGGCTGGCCGAGGCTGTGCTTGCGAGTCTTTGTGCGGCCGGCGGAGTGGAGCTCCCAACCGGGCCTGCCCGTCCCACTCGGGACATGAGCGGCTGAAGTTGTCCCCTCTCAGCCCTCACCCTTGCCAGGACCCCTCTGGGCTTGCAGTCGCTCCCCGCACCTCTCCTGGCCCCCTCAGTTCTCCCAGGTAAGTCTGGGCACCCTGCAAGCCTGCTGGGGGTGGGCGGAAGGCCCTCAGCCCGGCCCGGGCCTGGTCTGCTGGCTGGGGGAGAGGTGCCCCAGCTCAGAGCAGCCGGGGTGCTCAGGCCTGCTGACCTGTGGCCAGCCCCTAAAGGAGGGGGCCTGCCCTCAGGTCAGCCTGGTTACCATGGTAATGCCCAGCTGGAGGCGCCCCCCCTCAGCCCCAGATGGAGCTTCCTCCCTGAGAAAACTTTACTAGTTCTGGGCTCTTCTCTCCCCCTTCCTGAAGGCTTCCAGATTGCTAGAGGTGGGAGGGGGGCTATGGCTGTCTCTAGGGCTGGATGACACATCTCCCCTCCCCCCCCCCGCCCCCCACCTTGTTCCCTCTACCCCTGCTGCTGGGGACAGGCAGCAACAGGGACAGATGGTCTGGGTGATGTCCCTCCCCTTCTCTACTCACTCCCAAGCTCTTGTGCTGGGGCTACTGGGAGTTGTGGCTCTGGAGAGATGCTGAGTTTGTGTCCATTCACTGGAGGAGCAAATAGAGGCCCAGAGCGTTGGGCTTTAACTCCTTAGAGCTATTTACCCAGTTTCAGACAATGCCTCTTCATTCTCTAGAGAGAGAAAGGGAGGCTCTGAGATTTTTTTTTTTTCGAAACTGTCGAGAAACCCAGGCGTCCTGCTTCCCTTCTCTTTAGGTTCTTGAGCTAACACATTTCTTCAAGTGGCCTCGAAACGGAGGAGGCAGAGGTGGTTAGGCTGTGGGAGAAAGGATGGCCTAATTGGAGGATGAGGGCCAGGTCTGAGAATCTGCTCTTGGGTTCATTGCCCAGGCCTGGCCTCTGGTGGGCTATGTGAGCTTGAGTTTCCTGTGTGGCCCTAGTCTACCTGTCTTTGGAGTGGGGATACTTGGTGGCTTGGTGGGGACTGTCTCTTTCTGGAGACACAGGCACAGTCCAGACTGGCATGTGAAGGCTGTGTGTGCTGTTCTTGGAGCATGTGGACGTGGCCCATGAGAGCTTGTGCATGGGGTGAGGGCCTGTTGGGGGCACTCTGATTCTGCCTGGGGCTGCTGGGTTCCAGCCCTTGATAGGCATGTTGGGGCGAGCTGAGGGTGGAAGCCTGCTAGGCAGGATGGAGCACACGTGTGTGCAGGCACACACAGGCTCTGACTCTTGGCACCTTCAGGGACTGTGCAGTCTGGGACCGACCTTTTGCCTGCATCGTGAGGACAGGGCCCTGGGGAGAGAATTAAATGACACATGTTGGCACAGGGTCTTCTTTTGTCTCTTCCCCCCAAGGAACAAAGTAGATTTTGCATCTAAGTTGGGGAGGGGACATAGATAGAGTCAATCCAGCTACCCTCCCAAATACAGTCCAGTTTTAGGGACCCAAGGAAGCAAATGCGATTGGAGTCAGATGAACTTTTGGGACTGTGCCTCAATTTCTTCTCCTTGGGTATGCCCCAGGTACCTCTGCAGCTGTTCCCCCTTCTCAGAGAAGGGGGAACAGCTGCAGAGGTACCTGGGGCATACCCAAGTATGAATTTAACACTTCTCCCTGTCAGAAAATAGTATTCCAAGAACTGTTTGCTGTTAGGTGAGGTGAGAGAGAGGACATGTGCACATGCACAGATACACAGTAGCGAGACCCCTGTCTAGTGACCACCTGCCCCTAGACTGAGGGACATAGTTCCCGAACCACCTACTTTTAGATTATAGGTAGAGTGGGATCCAAAGGAGATTCCTGCCTCCCCTACTCCAAGTCTCAGAAGAGAAAAGGGGTTGAGGCTTTTGGGTTTCTGGTTTACAGACAATACTCTACCCTTGGTAGAGGTGGGGGTGGGGGCTGGGCTGATAAGGGAGTGGCCGTTAGTGGGGCTGCAGAAGGCCCAACTGGTTATCTGGTAGGTGGCACCCAACAGGCACCCACCCCCGTTTATCTTTCTATCACTTGCCCTCCTGAAACCCTGAGGCTGGAGGAGGGGCAGAGTTAGAAAATTCCCCCGTTCCTCCCTCACTTTGGTCTCTAGAGGGCGATAGAGGGATCAGCTGGTAGAAATGGTGTAGGATATGGGAATCAGAAGATCGGACCTCAAGTCCTAGTTTTGACAGTTACTAGCTTTATGATCATGGCAAGTTCCTTTGAGCCCTCAGTTGCCTCACCTGTAAAATGGGAATATTATGGTCAGCCCTGCTACTTCATAAGGTTATTATGATTATTTTATGAAACTACTTAGATTAAAAGGGGGTTTATCAAAATTATATTCTAGTGTTTGGATATTTATTTATTCTGTGATAATTCTTCCCAGCTTCAATTCCTCTTCTGTCATCAAGGACTCAGCCAAATGAAGAAATAGGATCTTGGGTATAGCCAGGTTCAGAAAGAGAGACCAGTGATCCCTAGGGTAGCTACCCTCTAGTCCGTCACTTTCTTGTAACCAGGCCGGGGAGTGCCGTAAGACCAGTCCCTATCCACACAGTCTAGCAGGCTTATCGAAGAGCTCCCAAAAGGGGATGAGGGGACTCCTGTTTCTTTTAGAGACGGGGTCTCACTCTGTTGCCCAGGCTGAAGTTCAGTGGTATGACCTCTGCTCACTGCAGCCTCAAACTCCTGGGCTCAAGCGATCCTCCCACCTCAGCCTCCCAAGTAGCTGGAACCATAGGCCTGCGCCACCATACCCAGCTAACTTTTAAAATTATTTTTAGTGACAAGGTCTTGCTATGAGGCTGGTTGCGAGGTCTCGCTATGACACTCGTCATTGCAGCCTTGACCTCCTGTGCTCAAGCAGTCTTACCTTGGCCTCCCAAAGTGCTAGGATTACAGACGTGAGCCACCATGCCCAGCTATGACTCCTTTCTTTGTCTTCTAGGTTGTTCCTCAAAGTCATTCAAGCTGTACTCGCCGAAGGAGCCCCCGAACGGCAACGCCTTCCCCCCCTTCCATCCCGGCACCATGCTGGATCGGGATGTGGGGTGAGTGAGTCTGTTGGCCACTTCCTAACCCTTCTCCAGGTGGGATCCTGCTTGGAAAGGGGAGGGAGTAGCCCCCCACCCCCAATAATTCCTATCTTCCACCCTCATTCTCATAGCCTCTTCCTTTACACAGCCCAACTCCCATGTACCCGCCTACATACCTGGAGCCAGGGATTGGGTAAGTGCAGTCTAGTGGAGAGGAAGGTGCTTTCCACTGGGAGAAGGCTGAGGTGGGGGTAGGGTGGGGAGGCTCTGCTCCTACTAACCTCCCTCCTTCACTTCTTCCAGGAGACACACACCATATGGCAACCAAACTGACTACAGAATATTTGAGCTTAACAAACGCCTTCAGAACTGGACAGAGGTATGGCCAAGGGCAAAGGGGCTGGGAGCAGGAGGGCCATCTGGGCACCCCATGGGATAGTTTATGACACATGAACACATACACCTCACCATGCTCCTAGGAGTGTGACAATCTCTGGTGGGATGCTTTCACGACTGAGTTCTTTGAGGATGATGCCATGTTGACCATCACTTTCTGCCTGGAGGATGGACCAAAGAGATATAGTAAGTGGCCTCTGGGGTCTTTCTGTCAGGGTGTATACCTCCTGTGTAGTTCTAAGGTCTGGAAGTGGGTCTGGGAGTGCCAGGGGATGTCTAGTTTGGTAGGGGAGGCATCTGCCTGGCCCCTTTTGAAGTCCCTTTGTCCTGAAGAGTTTGTCCCATCTCTACAGCCATTGGCCGGACCCTGATCCCACGCTACTTCCGCAGCATCTTTGAGGGGGGTGCTACAGAGCTGTACTATGTGCTTAAGCACCCCAAGGAGGCATTCCACAGCAACTTTGTGTCCCTCGACTGTGACCAGGGCAGCATGGTGACCCAGCATGGCAAGCCCATGTTCACCCAGGTCAGCAACCCTGCTGGATATGGAACACCATGGCACCTGGGTTTGATTCCCTGTCTCTCTCCTAGTGTATACTCACAGCTGTTCCCCGGGGAGCCATAATGTGAAGTGGCAAAATAAAAAGGGAGGGTTGCAACCGTCAGGCAAACATGTGTTGCATTTATATGGGATAGTTTTCTGGGCCCCAGGGCTACATGAGTGAACAAGAGTCTGCCCTCACATGGCTTAGAATAGATGGGTATATCACTAGCTACATGGGGAGAGGACAAGGATCTGTTAAGCTTTTCTACTGTGTGTGTGTGTGTGTGTGTGTGTGTGTATGTGTATGTGGGTGTGTCTGCGCATGTTTCTGTGTGTGTGTACGGGCCAGGTATATGGGTGGGGGTTGCTGCACCCAGATTTAATGTGCGGGTGACAAAATATGCAGTGGGAGAGTTATAAGCAAATGGGAGGTTGTAATAGACATATTTCAGGTATGGTATGTTGGGAGGGGGCAGGGTTGTGACAAGCCTGTCTTCAGGTGTGTGTGGAGGGCCGGTTGTACCTGGAGTTCATGTTTGACGACATGATGCGGATAAAGACGTGGCACTTCAGCATCCGGCAGCATCGAGAGCTCATCCCCCGCAGCATCCTTGCCATGCATGTGAGTTGTGAGCAGGACCCAGGACGAAAGAGTGAAAGCAGACGGGAGGAAGGGTGGAACAAGGTCTGCCATTTTCTGACTGACCTTAGACAGGGTTAGGGTTTCTTCATCTGAACAGCAGGTTGAATAAGAGGCTCTCCTCTCTCAGGAGGGTCACAATGCTCTCATGATAAGGCAGATGAGCAGAGGCAACCCAGGTGTCAGTGTTCTTGCTTGTTTTTTCTCCCACTCTAGGCCCAAGACCCCCAAATGTTGGATCAGCTCTCCAAAAACATCACCCGGTGTGGGCTGTCCAATTCTACTCTCAACTACCTCCGAGTGAGTCCAAGCACCCAGTTTCTGCCCCAGTCCATTTAGTCTCAACTCCATGTCTGTCCCCTGACAAGCCACCTCCTGGTCTACCCCTAGCTCTGTGTGATACTGGAGCCCATGCAGGAGCTCATGTCCCGCCACAAGACCTACAGCCTCAGCCCCCGTGACTGCCTCAAGACCTGCCTTTTCCAGAAGTGGCAGCGCATGGTAGCACCCCCCGGTGAGTGCCTTGCACTTGTTCTTACCAAGATCTCACACTGCTCCTCAAAGCTGTATCTTTATTTCCTTTTGAACTTTTCCCTGCCCCTTCCTTGCTCCTGGGTCTACAAAATTGGGATCAGGGCAGGCTCATGCTCCTTGGGAGCCACAGTGGAAAATAGGGGACCCAGGGCACTCTCCCATCTGAGTCTCCATTCCCCGGCACAGCGGAGCCCACACGTCAGCAGCCCAGCAAACGGCGGAAACGGAAGATGTCAGGGGGCAGCACCATGAGCTCGGGGGGTGGCAATACCAACAACAGCAACAGCAAGAAGAAGAGCCCAGCTAGCACCTTCGCCCTCTCCAGCCAGGTACCTGTAAGCATCTCGGCTTTCTTCTCTCTTCTGGGCTGCCCCACCACTCACCCTTGACCCCTGTCCAAGCCTGAGCTCACAGCAGGCATAAAAGCAAAGACAGGTTTTCTCATGTACTTTGCCAGCCTGGGCTGACTGCTTTTATTGGTGAGAGAGTCCTTGTCAGGGACTTGCATGGTTGTGATCACATACACTCAGCCATAGGAAGCTAGGGCATAAAGGGACAGAGACAGCCATGAGGACATAACGGACGTTCAGGACAGACAGCTTGGGGCTCACATACCATCCAACTCACACTCACACTGAGAGAGATATGAAGACTGGAGTGTTTGCAGATCTAGAATACATGCCCATGCACATGCACACATTGCCCTATCTCATGTTTTTGATCTGCTCCCTTTCTCTTACATGTGGACAGAAGTTGAGGAGTTCCCTAAAATTCTGGGGAGATGGACTAGGGAGCTAGGGGAATAGAGTGACTTCTAGAACTTAATGGATATGGGCTAAAGGCTGTGATGCTCTGGTGTCCTTCAGTGGGAAGGATTCCAGGAGCTGAGGGTGTCGGGAGTTGGGGTTTTAAATTTGGGTGAGGAGGGGGTGGGGGCGCTTGAGCTTCCAGGGTGGGTATTGGGGCTCTGGGGGTATCTGCCGCCCTGGGCCGGGCGAGCCCTTGCCCCGATTATGTTTGGGGACCTCCGCCACTCTCAGGATGTGATGGTGGTGGGGGAGCCCACCCTGATGGGCGGGGAGTTCGGGGACGAGGACGAAAGGCTCATCACCCGGCTGGAGAACACCCAGTTTGACGCAGCCAACGGCATTGACGACGAGGACAGCTTTAACAACTCCCCTGCACTGGGCGCCAACAGTCCCTGGAACAGCAAGCCTCCGTCCAGCCAAGAAAGCAAATCTGAGAACCCTACGTCACAGGCCTCCCAGTAAAAGGCCCTGCCGTGGCCACCCAGCGCTCTGCCGGCCTGCCCCACCCCTCGAAGCCCCAGGAAGCAGAAGACAGATTGAAGAGGCTGAGCATCTAAAACGGGCAGCCTCCATCCACCCGCTTCAGGGAGGAACTAGACTCGCTGGGGGCAGGTGCCAAGATTTGTCCCCCAGTGGCCCTGGGCTGGGCCTGGCCTCTGCAGAGCCTTTTGGGGGAAGGGGGTACTCGTGGATGCCTACATGGAACCTGGGTCTCTGAGAAATGTCCTGACCACCCCCCAGGGCATTTGCCTCCATCCTCACCCCAGATTCTGGGTTTCCCATCCCCCTGACTTTACTCCTTTCAAGCCTGGGGGTTGTCTATACCCACAGCCCTTAGGGACTTAAAGTTATGGGGCTTGGTTGAATGCCCCTTCCCCTAGGCAGCTGGTGATAGAGGGGTAAAGCTCTGGGCCCCTCTTCCCTGTTGCCACGTATCCCAGCTCCAAGTTTTTTAAAAAATAATATTATTAAAAATGTAAGTTAAAAAAATCATTCATGTCGCCCCTCTTCCCCCTATTAAAAGTCCAGCTACCTCCCTACTCTTGGCAGATTGGGGGGCTAGGGCCCAGGTGGGGGTGAGAGTGGGGGAGGGGGTATGCATACCATTTTATACAGTGTGAGAGCTTCAGACCAAGGAGACACTCTGCCATCTCTCTACCCCTTTCCTCTGGGGTGACTGCAGTTGGGGAAGGCATGCCATGGGGTTGGGGGACATCAGTGGCCACATCTTGGTGACAAACCCCTGATGTTTCTGTCTTTCCATCCTCTGGACTCTGGCCTGTCCTCCTAGTGCTCGTGACTCCCTCTGTTCCAGCCAGCCCCACCCCCATGGTGTGTATATTCCTTATGAGTCCTCCATGAGAGCAGTTGTCTAGGATGCAGGGGGGAGAGGCTTCCTCCCTTGGGGAGTGTGGAGGGAAGGGAACAGCCTTGTTTGTTGCTGTATTTTTGGTTTTGTCTCAGTTGGGCAGGCATGGGATGGAAGAGGTGCTTAGCCACTTTTCTCCGGAACCCTCCTTCAGCCCCTCCAACTGCATATATAATCCTACTCTGCCCTTCACAGAGGGGAAGGAGCCACTGAAACTAAGAACGTCCCGGCTCTAAGCCCACCAGAGAAAAACAGGCCTCTGTACCCCCATTTGAGGTAGAGGGTCTTCATCTGTCCGTATCCCCTGCCTCTCCTTCCTCATAGAAGGGAGGAACAGGAGGCACCTGGGATCCTCAGGTTGGCCAGGGTACAGCCAGGAGCAGGGTTCCACGTGGCTGGGCCAGCTCTGTGGCTTTGCTGCCTTTTCCTGTGGCCAGTCCCAGGAAGTGCTAGCACCACCTCTCTTCCCTTTGGATTCCGGGGGTCCCCCACACCCTATTTCCTCCACTCCAGCTGCCACTTTTGCAAGGGTATTGAGTCAGGAGCTGAGGGAAGGGGTGAGGAAGGTGGATGACCCACCCCAACTGTAATGTCTTTTTTTTTTTTTTTTNAAAAAAAAAAAAAAAAAAAAATTGAGACTTGTTTTGTGGCCTAAAACATCTATTCCTGAAAACATTCTATGTGCTTATGAGAAAGATGTATATTGTGCTACTGTTAGATAAAATGTTCTGTAAATGTCTGTGAGAACCTTTTGATCTAAAGTGTAGATTAAATCCAATGTTTTTTGTTGATCTTGTGTCTAGATTATCTGTTGAATGCTGAGGGTAGAGTGTTGAAGCACCCAGCTATTATTGGATTGGAGTTTCTCTCCCTTTAGGTCTACTATTTGCTTTCTACTTCTGGGTGCTCCAATGTTGGGTGATATATATTTAGAATTGTTATATCCTTTTGCTTAATTGATGACTTTAGCATTGTATAATGGCATTTTTTGTCTCTTTTTTACACTTTTTGACTTAAAGTCTGTTTTATTTGTTGTAGGTGTAGCTACTCCTGAATTTTTTTTTTCTGTTTGCACACAATATCCTTTTTCATCACTTCCCTTTTAGTCTATATGTGGCTTTACAAGTGAAGTGAGTTTTTTTTTTGTAGGCACATATAGTGGGATCATTAAAAAGAAACTCATTCAGGGCCAGGCACCATGGCTCAGGCTGGGCACAGTAGCTCACACTTGTAGTCCCAGCACTTTGAGAGGCCAGGGTGGGTGGATCATAAGGTCAGAAGTTCGAATCCAGCCTGACCAACATAGTGAAATCCGGTCTCTACTAAAAATACAAAAATTAACCAGTGTGGTGGCATGTGCCTGTAGTCCCAGCTACTTGGGAGGCTGAGGTGAGAGAATTGCTTGAACCCAGGGGGCAGAAATTGCAGTGAGCTGAGACCACACCATTGTACTCCAGCCTGGGTGACAGAGTAAGACTCTGTCTCAAAAACAAAAACAAAAACTAATTCAGGCAGTCTTTATCATTTAAGTGGGAAATTTAATCCATTTACATTCAATGTTATTATTGATAAGGGACAACTTATTCCTATCATTTTGTAAATTGTTTTCTGGTCATTTTGTATATCCTTTGTTACTTTCTTCCTCTATAATTGTTTATCATTGTAGTTTGATGGTTTTCTTTTGTTGTATCATTTGACTACCTTTTCTTTCTCACATGTGTGTCTGCTCTACCAGCAAGTTTTATATTTTTGTGTGTTTTGCTGATAGTATATATAATATCAGCCTTTTCAGAAACAGGATCCCCTTAAGCATTTCTTGTTGGACTGGTATAGTGGGTTTGAATTTCCTGTTTTCTCTTCCTTATTTTTTGAAGGGTAGCTTTGCTGAAGACAGTATTCTTAGCAATTTTTTTCTTTTAGGACTTTAAATATATCATTCTATTATCTCCTGACCTCTAAGGTTTCTGCTCAGAAGTCTGCCATTACTCTGATGGGAGTTCCCTGAAAATGTGACTTGACATCTCTCTCTTGCTGTTTTTGGAATTCTCTCTTTGTCTTTGACTTCTGACAGTTCAATTATAATATGCTTTGGAGAAGACCTTTTTGGGTTGAATCTATTTGGAGATATTTGAGCTTCCTGTATCTCGGTATCTAAATCTCTTGTAAGACTTGGAAAGTCTTCAGCTTTTATTTCATTAAATAGATTTTTTTTTTTTTTTTAAAGACAGAGTCTCATACTTTTGCCCAGGCTAGTGTACAGTGGCGTTACCTCAGCTCACTGCAACCTCCACTTCCTGGGCTCAAGCAATCCTCTTACCTCAGCCTCCTGAGGGAGGGGAGAGGTGCTTAGCCACTTTTCTCTGGAACCCTCCTCCCTCAGCCCCTCCAACTGCATATATAATCTTACTCTGCCCTTCACAGAGGGGAAGGAGCCACTGAACTGAGAACGTCCTGGCTCTAAGCCCACCAGAGAAAAACAGGCCTCTGTACCCCCATTTGAGGTAGAGGGTCTTCATCTGTCAGTATCCCCTGCCTCTCCTTCCTCATAGAAGGGAGGAGCAGGAGGCAGCTGGGATCCTCAGCTTGGCCAGGGTGCAGCCAGGAGCAGGGTTCCACGTGGCTGGGCCAGCACTGTGGCTTTGCTGCCTTTTCCTGTGGCCAGTCCCAGGAAGTGCTAGCAACACCTCTCTTCCCTCTGGATTCTGGGGGTCCCCCACACCCTATTTCCTCCACTCCAGCTCCCACTTTTGGAAGGGTATTGAGTCAGGAGCTGAGGGAAGGGGTGAGGAAGGTGGACCACCCACCCCAACTGTAACGTCTTTTTTTTTGGGGGGCCATTTGAGTCATGTATGGTACCGATCAATAAAGAGACTTTTCGGTTTGAGAGTGTCCTGGTTGGTCATTGATGCCTAATAATGACTCAGTCCAGGGCAATCTTTTCCCCATACTTGCATTTCCTAAGACTATGAATTGGACCCCTTTACTCTGACCTCACATTTCCCCTCTTCTGAAGTTGTTCCCTTGAATTACACCTCTCCTTCACCCAAGACCCTAAAGTTTGTTCCCAAGTGTCCCAACCTGGCCCCATCTCCCTGAAAAGTTGGGGGAAAGTTGGCTTTTCCAGTCTGCTCCCCACCTCACCCCAAGACTGTTGCTTCTCGCCCCTAGCTATCATGGGGCGGCCAGACAGGTGGCCTTCTTTGGTCAGGTTCCTGGGCTAGACAGCCCTGAAGTATGCTGTTGAGGGAGGGGTGGGAGAGGGGACTTGGCCTGGGAGGGGACTTTGGTTAGAGGATCTTGATCTACTTAGAGTGCCTGGGATATTCTTATCCCTACCCAGCCCCCAGCCTACTAGCCCAGGTGAGGCTTTTTAATTTAATTTAATTTTATTTTATTTTTATTTATTTATTTTTTTGAGACAGAGTCTCGCACTGTCACCCAAGGCTGTATGTAGTGCAGTGGCGTGATCTCAGCTTGCTGCAGTCTCCGCCTCCTGGGTTCAAGCAATTCCCCTGTTTTAGCCTCCCAAGTAACTGGGGCTACAGATGTGTGCCACCATGCCCAGCTATTTTTTTTTGTATTTTTATAGAGTTGGGGTTTCACCATGTTGGCCAGGACGGTCTCGAGCCCCTGACCTTGTGATCCACCCACCTTGGCCTCACAAAGTGTTGGGATTACGTGTGTAAGCCACCGTGCCCAGCCTTTTTTATTTTTTGAGATGGAGTCTTGCTCTTTTGCCTAGGCTGGAGTGCAGTGGTATTATCTCCACTCACTGTAACCACCACTTCCCAGGTACTAGTGATTCTTCTGACTCAGCCTCCCAAGTAGCTATGATTACAGGCACCCACCACTGTGCCTGGCTACTTTTTTTAATTTTTTTTTTTTGTAGAGATGGGGTTTCACTATGTTGGCTGGACTGGTCTCAAACTTCTGACCTCAGGTGATCCACCCACCTCGACCTCCCAAAGTGCTAGCATTATAGGCATGAGCCACCTTGCCCGGTCACCAGCTGAGGTCTTAACTAGTCTCCCCTGGTGCTAAGGTCCCTGGGTGGGGGATTAACAGAGTGGCAGGATTGTTTGTTTCCTTGTTGACTTTAGGTGGGGATGCTGAGGGAGGAAGACATAGCTCTGTTGCTAGTGGGCAGCCTGAAGCTCTGTGGGAGGCTGGGAGAAGAAATAGGGCACTTTTCAGACTCCTTTCCAGGTAGTTAACCCTCCAAGTTCCCTCCTCCTCACTGTGAAAGACTGGGAAGGTATGGAGACCCCGCTGTGGATTGGAGATGGGGTTTTAGTGCCCATAAATCTCCCTATCCAGTGTCCCTCATTGTCATCCCAGGCAGGGGAAGCTGAGGCCTCAAACTATTCACCTGCTAAGGTCTCCCTGGATCTGAAATAAAGCCCTATAGACCTGTACCTCTACCCTCACCTCCCTAGCTGGTAGGAAGACACCAAAGGAAGGGATTGCATGACCCACCCCATCCCTCTCCAATCTACAGTTACCCTGCCTTGCCCTGCTGCCAGCCCAGCTTCTCCTCATAGCCCCAGTGCCTCAGGACCTCAGGGAATGCTATTGCACCCCACTCCGAACTCTTCCTTTATAGATCTGGCCAACCTGAAGG